GTGACGGCCAGCATATTATGAACCTTTTGACTCATAGTATCTTTTGTTGCATATCATGGTTTTTGTATGAAGAATTTGTTTTTCATTGAAAGTCATCCCATGGTGAAGTATGTTTCTGAAAAGAATGAACACGGCAGCCTTTTCTCTTTTTCTCTTACTTTCTTTCCATCTCATTTGCGAACAAGACCAAATATATAACATATAAATGTTCTCAAAAACATACAGAGGCTGCAGACAAAAAGAAAATCTCAGACATGCGGCAAAAAAATACTTCTTTGCAAAGCATCAAGAGTCAAAGGCACATCATATTATTGTTGAAGACACTCACAAGCAAGGAACGTCCAACCTATTAGTTACAACTCACAACCCAAACAGAAAAAGTATAACCTTTGTCCCACACAACAAGGGCCTTGAAAGATCATAAAAATTCAAAGAAGGGTATGGTCAACTTATACTTTAAGAAGGGTTGGGGCAACACTAAATTTAACGAGCCAATTCATACAAACAACTCAATGTATGTTGATGTAAATGACTTTGGCATGGGTAAGTACACTGGTAATAATAAAAAACCCAGAAAGAGCCTCTCCTAAAAATATTAAAACTATTTGCTTCCTTCTTTCTATATCAGCCAAGCAGATTAACGATGATATGGCAACACTTAAAAGTTGTGTAAACTTGCAGGCATGATACAGACAAATGAAACGTAATATCTTTAGACATGATACAAAGTTTTCCCCAATTATTAAATTTACTACAACAAAACACTGAAAAGGGACAACGAAACAAACGATTCTCTCAACATCACATACTGATTATAATAATAATAATGAGTGCCATCTTGGTGGCATAACATACAATATAAAAAAAAAATAATTTGATCTGCTCCACAAAAAAAAACAACCCATGTCCAAACATAACATATCTATGTGTGTATCAGCCTGACCTATCTCTCCAAAGTAATAATAATAAAACAAAGAAAAGCTCAACAGACCAGCTCACAAAACACTCGTTATTAACTATACTGACGGTCATTAAAAACGCACCATTTTGGATTGAGCACATTTTGAACTAAAATCTATCCAGTGACATCAATTGAGGTTGACAAATATTCACGGGCAACAGAGGTTACCGATCGCACAAAATTTGAAGTTCCCAGTTCAAATCTATCAATGCGCATGTGCAACATGCAAAAATCCGATGTGTGGACCTCAAACCTAAAATTTGTTTAGCGAGACATACTTTTTGGCTGTTAGGGAGAGATTATATTCACCCATAACAAAAACTGACATTCTTTACTCTGTGTGACGGATTTTTTCTGCGTAAATAATGCCGCGACTTTCCATGAAAGAACGTGAAAGGGCCATTGGAATACCCCAAGACGGAATGACAGCACGGCAAGTTGCCAGGCGCATGAACTGTAGCCACTCGACTGTAATCCGGTGTCTCAAGGAAATCCAGCTACTGGATCTACACCAGATCGGCGACGGAGCGGCCAACCCCAAGTTACCACACCAGCGCGAGACGTCACATTCGCCAATGTCACCTTCGTGACCGTTTCCGGCCGGCACCGGAAACAGGTCTTCAAGTGGTTGGTCGGCGTGGACCAGTATCTGAATGGGCCTTACGACGCCGTTTGCGGGAAGCGTGACTTGCAGCCAGACGCCCGTACGTTGGTCCTGTCCTGACACAGAGGAACTGTCAACAACGTTTGCAGTAGGCCAGGCAGCATTTACAGTTAACGAGAGTCGATTTGCTCTCTCGCATGCTGACGGGAGAAGAAGGGTATGGAGACGCCCTGGCGAGAGCTACGCCAACTGTTGCATGCTAGAGGTCGATAGATGGGGAGGAGGCAGCGTCATGGTATGGGGAGCATCCAGCTACGATTATCGCACACTACTGTACTTCTTCGATCAGCCTGTGAAAGCCACCACGTACCAGCAGGTTTTAAAGAACCACGTCTTGTGTTATTTAGTCAGCATCCAGAGCAACACGACAACGCCCTCCCCCACACCGCTCGAGCCACCACTGCTTTTCTCCAGGCAAACAACATTGATGTCCTGGCTTGGCCATCACTGTCTCCTGACATGGCACCAATTGAGCAGGTGTCGGACGAGCTTGGCCGCCGTTTGTCCCGTGGAAAACCTATACACAATCTCTAAGAGCTGAGGAGTTCTTTGACAAATGAGTGGGTACAGATTCCACAGGTGTTCTTTCAGACTTTTGTCAATTCCACGAGAAGACGCTACCAATCCTGTACACTGTATTCAGGCCAATGGAGGACATACACGATACTAAAGCAAGTGTTAAAAACTCAATTTACCTCTCTGATTTTTGAAAAATGACTTTTGTTACTTCATGTTGTTGTGCTCGCGGTGTCATTTGACCTTTTCATTTAATATCAGCTGTGAATGTTCACAAAATGACCATAGAATGCAATGGTATATAATATGTTTAAAAAAATAAACACATCACCATTATTTGAATTGTTTTGTAAGTGGTGCGTTTTTAATGACCGTCAGTATAGTTCCTATGATACCTCATTCAGTTCACTTCCACAAGCTGATCAGCAACCCCTGATATATTCTTTTCTATATGATAAACTGACCATTGGGCCATAAATTTCTGGATAAAGGTTGTTTCACGCTCATATGACCTTATGCAGTTGCGATCGCCATAAAACCCTGTACTAAAATACTAAACAAAAGGTTGTTTTCAAAAGCAGTTATTTTGTCATTCTAATCCTAAGTACACGTCAGTTGTAAATGTTGTCACTGCAATAACAAAATAGCATAACTAGGAGGGGTGCCAAACTGCAACTAGCATTTTATTTTGTTTGGTTATACTATACATATGTTTAAGTAAAATCGAAAGAAAAATGCACTGGTAGTCACAAAAGAAACATGGCTACCAAGTTTTACCATTATTACATGATAAATAGTCTAGAAAAACAATTTTTTCCTTTTCTCTCAGAAGTAGAAAAGAGATTTGCCATTTTCCTAGTACAGTGACCATGTTTTACAACCATATTTTCCAGATCAATACAACAGCAGCCTCATCAAAACAGTGAAAATGATTCGGGGAGGCAGTGGGGGGGGGAGACAGGCACATTGGCAGTGCAACTGAGGAGAGTGACACATTGACAGTGCAACTGGAGCTGAATGGGATCGGAGGAGAAAGATGCGGAAGATAAAAACATTCCCCTCCCCACACCAGACAAAGATATACACAGCTTCGGCGAGCAAGGCAGAGGGCTGAACTACTACACCAGACAATTGTTTATTCTAATACGACAAAACTGAATTCTAAACATAAGGAAAAGATAGGGTATGTGATCTTATGCTTTGTTTATACGAAAGGAGCAAAAAAACCCCCAAAACAACCAACACAACAAAAAACTTGCATGGGTTAGACCAGACACACAGTTATGTTTAAAGCGCACACAAGATTACAACAGATTATAAAAACAATGAATGGGAGTTGAGGTGAGATAGGAAGATCCTTTCACATGCGCGGTGAACTTTAGTCGAGCAAACCAAGCTAGGTAAATGCAGACAATGACAGCCTTAAAAGAAACTAAATTATAGGCATACAACTACACCAAGCGAAAACCAGACACCAAAATAGTCGAATATGAGTAAAAAGCTTGCCATACTACTCAGTCCGTGGGTGAGGGGCAATTTGAAGTCGCGGACCAAGGAAGCCCTGCCTTCTTGCCAGCCTGCACCAGACCGTCGTACATTTCGTCGCGGTTTATTATGGCTCCAAAAATGTACGACTGTTGACGGGGAATCAACATACACAAGAAGTCAGTGAAAGATTATAGAAATATTCCTCACGGTCATGATCAGCCCAGTGGAAAGTTTTACAAAGGAGTGAGTAATGACCTTTTAAAAATATGCACACATGTATGCATGTGTGTAAATGTGAGCTTTTTTCAGGAGTGAATAAAAAAGAACACGGGTGGGTAAGCAATGACTTACAAGTGTCATTGTTCATGTCAGTATGATTAACACAACAGTTCTGTTTTCTTTCTCTAGCTCATGGAAAAAGTTCTACCTCAGGACAGCCTAAGTTGTAACTCTTTGCTGTAGAAAAGATACATTCCCTGTATGCTTTGTTGAGACTTAGGACTTCCAAAGTAACAATAAGAGATAAATTATTGTGACCAAAATTAAGTACCCCTTTTCAATTTGTACCAAATTTATAAACAGGTCGCAGATAGGCCTAAACAACAAATGTTATGAACGGACAACAACAGCATTGCAAATGCACTATCATTTCGATCTGAATTTGTATTGTAGTTAAGATATTCCTCAAGTATTAACATAACCAAACACAGTTTACATTTCAGCATTTCAGTTCCAATATCACCTCTCATGCTATCAGAGAATAACGAAGCAGTCTCTAAATGTTGCACAGTCGTATGGACTGCACACTAAATCATACACCTAGCAGGTACATGAAGCATAACACAGGTGTCTAAAACCGTATCTTAACAAGAGTCAAAGGCTTCCCTCTATCATCAGCTTCTAGCTAGGCACCTACAACTTCTACATGCTCGGCAAATAGTTAAGAGGTGTGCACACGGCGCAGCCCAGCCAAAATCAAGAGAAATGACCAGTGAGCCATGACTTTCATTGAAACCGAAATCCCCAGAGAACTGCTGTTTCTCTACGAGTTTCGTTATCAACTGATGCTTTTTCACCATTTTCAATGTCGACGAGCCACATCCTGTGCACACCCCAGAAGGCGGGAGGAAAGAGCAAAGGCAGGCAGAGGTGAAGGCAAGGTGTAGTGTGGCAGGGCAAAGCATCAGAGAGCCACAGTTCAAAACTAACCTTTTCATTCCCAACCACAACAATCTCAATAGCCATTCCTCCACCGGGCATCCAGGAATACGGTCTGGCCTGGATGAAGAAACAAGCAGAAAGAAAAACATTAGAATTTGTACCAGTCTGCCAAGAGGCATGGTGCTTACCTCACACACCAAAGAACCTTGCTCAACACCTGATTCCTGCAAACATGGGCAGGGGATGACTAGGGTTTTTTCTCAGACTCAGAGAATCCCATGGTAGATGGAATGGAGTACATAGCCCTTTATGAAAAGGATGAAAAACTTCAAAGTCTCATGTGTACAATGTGTGAAACAAAGACCCCAGCCAAAATCAGTTGTCCTGGCAAAATTCTACATCAACATCTTTCTGAAATAAAAAATGAAGAGAACCTATTAAAATGTATATGACACATTTCAGAAACCCATTTGTGTTGTGGGGGTTGAGGAACCTACAGTTTTATTACCCCTAAGAAAAGAAACAGGAAGAGGACAAGCGGAAGAAAAAGAACTCTTTATGTCCAAAATGAAATGACTTAGGTCTAACTACAAAAGAAAGCAAAGAAATTGTACAAAAGTATTAATGATAAACTTGTTTGTTTTAGTAGAGGTTTACGACGTTCGCAACTGCGTAAGTTCATATGAGCGCCACAGTCATAATCTCTTTAGTTGTACTTGATATATTATGAGAAATAGGAGACATGATGATTCTATTCACCTTTTCCAACCTGGCAATGTCAGCGAGAGGAATGACGATGTTCTTTGGCGAAGGCACTTTGGTCCTCTCAAAGCACAGGAAACTACATGGGAGAACAGAGAAAGAAAGACATACATTTTCTGACACACTGTTAACTATTTCCCAAAAGTGAGCCCCAAAATGAGGCTTGTGTGACCCATACTTTATGGCAGAGAGTTGCATTTAGTGGCTTGAAAAAATTCTCAGAATCTCTTCCACTCCAGTTCTTCAGATTCACACAAAAGAACTATTTAATGATGGATTTCTTTTTTCTTTGAATTTCCTGATTCATTTCCTTGAATTTTGAATTGGAACACATGTAGGAGTCGCAAAACAAATCAGAAGACCCTTTTTTCTTGATCATAGTAAGAAATGACAAATGGCTACCAAAATGGCTTGGTCACAGTAAGGAAAATGGTCTACGAGGATTGAATTTCAGGACAACCTGGCATCTATGCAAAAGAAAAAGTTATCGAAATTGACTCCAAATAGGTCTTAACAAAGCTATCAGAGCAAATAAAACAGTAACTATCTACAATAGTAACATTATATTAACAATATTTTTCACACTAGTATGCTGAAGTCAAGGAATGGCTTGAGCTTGAATGTATACAAAATATGACGGTAATTTGAATTTTCTAGTAGGTCTGTTGCTTCAAAGGCAATTAACGTTGTCTCTAAGCACCAATAACAAATTGAAACACTGACCTATGCGTGAGATAGAGCCTTCCATTCTTGAACGCCGCAGTGAGAGATTTTTCTCTGTTGATTAGAGTGCATCGTCGCCCACTGTGCCAACCTGGAAGATGGATCAGGGAAAAGGTCTACCGAGCGCCAAGTACATGTGGCTCTCTCATCTCAGAACTACTGCAGCCTACAGGACCTGTGCATCTGAGCTCCAGTGCACTGAATGCTTGATATACATCGCCATACCTTGAAATGTGCATTTAGTGTAAAAAAGGGTACAGATGGTCAAGCTCAACTGAGTCCTTGGGTCAAGCATGTTTTAAAAAACGTGGAGAAAAAAATAGAAATAACTAGAGAGAAAAAGAGTACTCATTTTTTACAAATAATTTATACTTAACAACTCCCAAACTAGCTTCCAGGAAAGACAATTCATGTTCCCTGATGTGCTCTAGATGCAACCTCTTGCATATATTGGAAGACAGTCATCTATATAACTGTCCGGTTGTTGTCACCCGGAGTTTACTAATTAATGTGAATACATATATGTAGTGCGTTCTTCTGTGTCTAGGTACTGGGTCAGATAGGTATCGTGTTATTATTTGATTAAATGAATTTCATGTCACGTAAACACTAGAGTGACTTTAAGTGTGTTTAACCTAACTTGAGATCTACTCTTATCCTTCCCACAACAGATGAGGAGAGAACACTTTACAGACATACTCAGCCACTGAAGTGAAACTGCAATTACTATTTAATGGCATTGGACCTTTGTGAATGCCCTACCTGACTGAATCAAGAACAATGCCATGAACCTGCTACGAACAGACAAATATAATAATAATAATAATATATAACATTTATATAGCGCATTTCCAAAAAAAGTAGCTCAATGCGCTTTATATTGGAATACCCATTTTCAAAATCTTTCTTACTACTTCCTTTCTTCTCATGCAATATATATTTATGCACACTCACACACACACGCACACTGTCTATTTTCATTCAGACATAGGCACAGAACAACTATAATAAAAATAACGCTAAAAGCTTGTGAAGGATATGCCTGTAGGAACAGAAAATGCATAAGATGTTTATTGAAGCGATCAAGTGTTCTTGGTTTTTTTGTTTTTTTTTGTAAAGTGTTTTACGGCGCTCTTTACAACAAAAAAAACCAAAAAAAAACCAAGAACACTTGATCGCTTCAATAAACATCTTATGCATTTTCTGTTCCTACAGGCATGTTTTGTCTTAGTTCCAAGGGTAATCTGTTCCACATAAATGATCTCACACAGATCTCTCTCCATGTCCCCCACCTACCTGGCAAAGGGCACTCAGATTCTGGGAGAGAGAAGAGCTCACAGAATGTGCGGTCATCCATGGACACATGGTCACTTTTAGAGTCCAGGTGTGGGTCAACTTTCTCCTGACCACTGGGCAGAATGTACTGGGGAAATCATGATGGAAGAGAAGTTTAGATAGAGTGCTTTGCTCGTTAGCCATTGAGTGGAAAGGGTTCACAGATTTGCAAGTAAAATTTTTAAAAAAGGCAATTGGACACAGCTTAAAAAGGGGACCAATGACAGAGTGTAAAAGTTTGAAACTGCTTATCACTTTATGTATTAGAGTTACATGTATGTCATAACGAAAAACAAATCTCCTTATATGGAAAAACAAAGAAGCCTTTTCAACAACCCCTTCCTCTTAAACACAGAGGAACTGCTGTATCGACACATCATATCTCACTGACAATAAAGTTCTTTAAAAAAAAAAGGTCCTGCATCAGAGAAAAGAAGGACAAGAAGCATTTATGTTCAAAGGTTAATCCTTGGCAACGACAGGTCAATTCATATGCCAAAAGCTACATTAAACATCCTTGAGTTCAAGTAATGTTTCTTAATTTCTTCTGGATCAATTTCTTATTCTAAATATATATGCTGTATAAATTTTAAAAAAAATTGATGCTGCCATTTTTTTCAGTCAACACAAAAATAGAAAGGAACAAAGTTTTAAAGAAAGAAAAAGTATAATGCACTGATACGGGAATCCTCAAATAAAAAAAACCAAAATCTCTTATAGCCTAAGAAGTTAGTACAGGTAAAGTAAATATTCTGTCTCGAACTGACAGTATGTTCTCATGGTAATTCCATGTTTACCTTATCCATTTCACTCTTAACATATCTGCGTTCAAACTCCAAATCAGTCGGTAGCTCCTGCCACATGCGGTAGGTGGAGTCATATTTTCTCTTCACACGTGGGAATCGGTTGAAGATGTAGTCAATGATGAACAGCTTGATGCCCAGGTACAGACCTGTGTTGGACGGACATAACAAAATAGAGACGAGACACAAATTCATTTTAATCAGTAACAAAACATTGCCTCACACCTCGAGTACTATGTTCTTGCACTACAGTGAAGTCTTCTAAAACCAAACACGGTTATCTGACAATAGTGGTAAACTGAAAGAAAATTAAATCCCAGATTTTTTTTTTTTCTATTTGAAGAACTCCTCTAAACGGAAAACCAAGCTAGACCTTATAAAATCTGGCCCTCCTGCAGATTTCGATTGAAGTGGACTCCACTGTATATTTTACTTGGTAGCTATTGACTTATCTTACAGCTGAGCTATGTCAGAAATATCATTTATCCATAATCTTTTGACTCTTTACTGCAAGTGATGGGTTGCAGTCATTGCTACCACAATTCATTGTTGACCACAAAATGATATTTTATTTCACCAACTGACCAATTTAGCACACTGAAACAATAAATAAGCGATTGGTGAATCTGATTAGAAATGGGTGAAAAATGTAGTGCAAGTACAATTTCAACAATTAATCAGGCACCAGAATTTCTATCTCAAAGTTGCAAAGAAGATCTCTGCACATTGGCAAGAATTAGGAGATTCAGACAAAAGTTTATTGTTTGTAACTCTGAACTCCAACAACCTAACAAAAATCAATAAGAAACCACAGCTTTATTTCTGTATCAAGAAAAATTCACAAATAAAGCAAAACAATATTTACAAATCATTTAAAAATGTGCGGAACTAGGAGAACAGATATCAATTAACACATATTCAGACCTCTCTGCCACAAACAAAAAGAGACTAACCATCCCAAATTGACAAAACGTTTACTAACCAGCGTAGAAGAAGAGCAGTGGGGTGGGAAGGATGCAGGAGGTGATAAACGCAGCAGTGACCATGATCAACAACTGGCGACTTGCCTCTGGGTGACGCCACGTCAGCATACTGACGACGCAGGAGAGAATACAATAATATAACATCATACTGACACAAACAACTCTTCTTTGAAATAACATTTTCAGTGGACTCAAAGAATGGAATGGTGAGAGTATTAAAAAAACACCAAACAGACAAAAATGCATGAATGAACTAAATACCCACCACCACTGAATGGACATTACGGATGCAACTTGAAGACCTGGACTTTGCAGATGATCTTACTTTACTTTCACATAGTCACCAAAGGATAAAGGAGAAAATTCCAGCATGGGCTGATAAAGGCTGATATTGATAAAATATGGACTCCCCCTCCCCCAAAACATTCTAGGAATACAATGCAATTGTATGATTGTAGAAAGAACCAAAAAAAAATCATACACATCACTACATGATATAAAATCAAAAGCTTGTACTTTTGTAGAATCAATGTTTGAGGGTTGGTGGGGCACCTCAGGTCTATTTTGGCTATTACAGGGCCTAGAGTGGTCATATTTGCGGTGGGACATCATGTGTTATTGGGAATTTGAAATCAATAGTTCAAAAAGTATATTGTGAATCGGTTGCTATGGAAACGGTGGCCATATTGGATTTTGTATACCTTTTTCAATCCCATTTTATTCCCTTATTTATTAACTGATTTACTTCTAATTTGGTATACCAACAGTAAATATGTAGCTCTTAAATTTGTTGAATTTATGATATATGCTTTAGTTTTTATTTTATGACACTTACAATTGGGTTGTTGCAAAAAAAGTGAAAAAAATGGAAAATTCATGCTTTCTAAGCCCATAGATGAAAAACTACTCCATTGATAAAAAATTCAACAAGCCAAAATTTAGAACTCTGCATTGTTCGTATCCTGTGAAAGTTACATTGAAATTGAATGAACAAGAAAAAAAAAAGAAAAAAATGGGATAATGTGTGAAAAAATAGAATTGTGAGAAAACAGCCGATACAGGTTAGAATAGGCTGGAAAACATGTGCTTTCGCAGAAAAACCTGATAAAACCCCACAGCTTTAGGGTGTCTCAAGGCTTACATACATTTCTGGATATTGTTCAGGAAATATCCAGATACTATAATATGTAATAACCCCAATTTGTATAATTTGACCCCAAAACACGATTTCTAGGTGCCTCACCAGCACTTAACATAACAAAGAGTTGTCAAAAGCAGTCCACATAGGCTGGTTATACACACAAATAAAACAAGATGGAATCAAGAAAGCAAATACACAAATTAAACAAAACTAAGGAAAGTAAAATTGAATGTGACAGTGATGAAGTGACAAAAACTGTAACCCAGGTTGCAATACCTTTTGATCTTTTCCAGACTGTCAGCAACTTCTCCGAGAAAGTTTTGGACTTTCCTTGCCACCTGCATGACCAGGTTTAATTTGTCTGACATTCCCATGTCTTTCTCCTCCGATTCCTTGGG